AGGAGGAGGAGGAGAAAGAAGGAGAGAGAGAAGGAGGAGGAGGAGGAGGAGGAGGAAGAGGAGGAGGAGGAGAAGGAGGAGGAAGGTAAGTGTGTTTCAATATTTGAGTAGGAACAGAGGAAAACTACACTTGATACTAATAACACGGTCCCTTTCTTCTTCCTTTTCCATTCTTCTGCTCCTGGAGACTCTTCTCCTCTCCCCGGCCTCCATCTCAACCACCTTCCAGCAGGAGAGACCAGGTCCTTGTTTGGGCACTGGGGAGAGTTGTCTTCTCCACAACCAACCCAGCCTCTCCCTGGAGGGTTATCCTTGAAGCCAGAGCAGAGACACGGCGAGGACGATGGTGAAGCTCAGGGCACTGAACTCTGCCGTGGCTGCCTGACCCGCACCCACGTTGCACAAATCCGTGTGACAGCAGTAGTCGGGATGATTGTCGCCAATGATGTCCGGCTCAGAGGGCACACAGGTTTTGGAGCAAGATTTGCTGACTGTGATGTTTCCAAAAAAGGGGAAACCTGGGAGAGATCAGTAATAACCAGGGTAAGAGATGGTGGGGCAGGGAGGAGATTAATAATAATAATAATAATAATAATAATAATAATAATAATAATAATAATAATAATAATAATAATAATAATAATAATAATAATAATAATAATAATAATAATAATAATAATCCATGAATGGAGTGTTGCTAACTGTGATGTTCAGAAGGAGCCCAGCCAGCCAGTGGCGGAAGTCAGCCAGTTCGCACCACTTCGGCACAACTGGTAGCTAATTTTTTGTTGCCCAGGTGCAGAATGGACTTCCGGAAATTCAATGGTGAAAAAAGCAAGGTTCTACATTTAGGCAAGAAAAACCAATTGCACAAGTACAGCATAGGTGGCACCTTGCTCAATAGTAGTAACTGTGAGAGGGACCTCGGAGTCTTAGTGGACAATCACCTAAATATAAGCCAGCCGTGTGCTGCAGCTGCCAAAAAGGCCAACACAGTGCTGGGCTGCATTAACAGAGGGATAGAATCAAGATCACGTGAAGTGTTAATACCACTTTACAATGCCTTGGTAAGGCTACACTTGGAATACTGCATCCAGTTTTGGTCACCACGATGTAAAAAAGATGTTGAGACTTTGGAAAGAGTACAGAGAAGAGCAACAAAGATGATCAGGGGACTGGAGGCTAAAGCATATAAGGAACGGCTGCTGGAATTGGGTATGTCTAGTTTAATGAAGAGAAGGACGAGGGGGGACATGATAGCAGTGTTCCAATATCTCAGGGGTTGCCCCAAAGAAGAGGGAGTCAAGCTATTCTCCAAAGTGCCTGGAGGCAGGACAAGAAGCAACGGGTGGAAACTAATCAAGGAGAGAAGCAACCTGGAATTAAGGAGAAACTTCCTGACAGTGAGAACAATTAACCAGTGGAACAACCTGCCTCCAGAAGCGGTGAATGCTCCAACGCTGGAAGTTTTTAAGAAGAGACTGGACAGCCATTTGTCTGAAATGGTATAGGGTTTCCTGCCTGAGCAGGGGGTTGGACTAGATGACTTTCAAGGTCCCTTCCAACTTTACTATTATTATTATTATTATTATTATTATTATTATTATTATTATTATTATTATTATTATTATTATTATTATTATTATTAAGTGGCATCCATGCAGAGAACCGGTTGTTCCCATATCTGAATCCCACCACTGGATAGATAGATAGATAGATGGATGGATGGATGGATGGATGGATGGATGGATGGATGGATGGATGGATAGATAGATAGATAGATAGATAGATAGATAGATAGATAGATAGATAGATAGATAGATAGATAGATAGATAGATAGATAGATAGATAGATAGAGTGGTGGGATTCAGCCAGTTCGCCCCACTTTGGCAGAACCGGTAGCTAATTTTTTGTTGCCCAGGCCCAGAATGGACTTCCGGAAGTGGCATCCACGCAGAGAACCGGTTGTTCACCTATTTGAATCCCACCACTGAGCCCAGCTTATCATTAGAACAAACCACGATTCTTACTCTCAGGGTTACTCAGGCCATAGAAAGGAAAGCCCGGAGCTGCTAATTGGATCTGGATCTTTTCCCACATCCTGCCCAGCCAGGAAGGACAATGAAGCATCTTTGGGGTCCCTCACAGTCCACTGAGAATTTGACCTTTCTCCCAGACAGATTGTGTCTATTATAAATCAATAAAATTCTCTCTCTTTCTCCAAAGCACCAGAGGGCAGGACAAGAAACAACGGTTGGAAACTGACCAAGGAGAGAAGCAACCTGGAATTGAGGAGTAACTTCCTGACAGTGAGGACAATCAACCAGTGGAACAGAAGTTGCCACCAGAAGTTGTGGATGCTCCATCACTGGAGGTTTTTAAGAAAACGCTAGACAGTCATTTGTCTGAGATGGTATAGGTTCCCCTGCTTGAGCAGGGGGCTGGACTAGAAGACCTCCAAGGTCCCTTCCAGCTTCTATTCTATTCTATTCTATTCTATTCTATTCTATTCTATTCTATTCCATTCTATTCCAATATCTGTTCTATTCTATTCTATTCTATTCTATTCTATTCTATTCTATTCTATTCTATTCTATTCTATTCCATTCTATTCCAATATCTGTTCTATTCTATTCTATTCTATTCTATTCTATTCTATTCTATTCTATTCTATTCTATTCTATTCTATTCTTTCCATATTCTATTCTATTCTATTCTATTCTATTCTATTCTATTCTATTCTACTCTACTCTACTCTACTCTACTCTACTCTATTCTATATTTTCTATTCCATTTCATAGTTTCTATTCTATTCTATTCTATTCTATTCTATTCTATTCTATTCTATTCTTTCCATATTCTATTCTATTCTATTTTATTCTATTCTATTCTATTCTTTCCATATTCTATTCTATTCTATTCTATTCTATTCTACCCTCCAAAGCGCCTGAAGGCAGGACAAGATGCAACAAATGGAAACTGGTCAAGGAAAGAAGCAACCTGGAATTAAGGAGAAACTTCCTAACAGTGAGGACAATTAATCAGTGGAACAGCTTTCCCCCAGAAATCATGGGTGCTCCATCACTGGAGATTTTTAAGAAGAGACTGGACAACCATTTGTCTGAAATAATATAGGGTCTCCTGCTTTAGCAGGGGGTTGGACTAGAAGACCTCCAGTGATGGAGTGCCCACGATTTCTGGAGGGAAGCTGTTACTTGTTCTCACTGTCAAGAAGTTTCCCCTTAATTCCAGGTTGATTTCCTCCTTGATTAGTTTCCATCCGTTGCTTCTTGGCCTGCCTTCTTGATTCTATCCCTCTCTTAAGGCACCGTAGGATTGCATCGGCTTTTTTGGCTGCTGCTGCACGCGGTGTGCCTGCAGCATGGATTTAAGACACCCTTGTCCGTGAAATGAGCATAAACTGCTCAGGAAGCCATCAGCCCACAGAAGCAATGAAAACACCTCTTTTTTTTTTGTTGTGCTGGCTGCAAGTTTCAGTACAAAGGTAAACCCTGGAGCAAAAGAAGAAAGCTGAATGCACAGGTGAGGCTGTGTCTCACCTGAATCCACCGAGTGGACGGTCGTCTTGCATGCAGTGGTGTTCTCTGGGCAGTGGGTGACGGCCAGGCAGTAGCTGACATCCATGGGTTCAGTGCAGGTGTAACACTGCAAAGATACAACTGTAACACCAGAGAAGAAGATCAGAATCACCAGGGTGGGCAGACTCCGTTTCTAGCAGGACTGAGATTGACATCCTGACAATCTGGTGTAAGCAAGCGAACGTCAGCTTTTTACTTTTGTAGAATGGAATGGAATGGAGTGGAGTGGAGTTGAATAGAATAGAATAGGATAGAACGGAACGGAACGGAACGGAACGGAACAGAACAGAACAGAACAGAACAGAATAGAATAGAATAGAGTGGAGTGGAGTGGAGTGGAGTGAAGTGAAATGGAGTGGAATGGAGTTGAATAGAATAGGATAGAATGGAACAGAACAAAACAGAACAAAACAGAATAGAATAGAAAATATGAAATGGAATGGAACAGAACAGAATGGAATGGAGTAGAGTTGAATAGAATAGGGTAGAATAGAACGGAACAGAACAGAATAGAATAGAAAATAGAATGTAATGTAATGTAATGGAGTGGAGTGGAGTTGAATAGAATAGGATAGAATAGAACGGAACAGAATAGAATAGAATAGAACAGAACAGAACAGAATAGAATAGAATAGAATAGAATGGAGTGGAGTGGAGTGAAGTGAAATGGAGTGGAATGGAGTTGAATAGAATAGGATAGAATGGAACAGAACAGAACAAAACAGAATAGAATAGAAAATATGAAATGGAATGGAACAGAACAGAATGGAATGGAGTGGAGTTGAATAGAATAGGGTAGAATAGAACGGAACAGAACAGAACAGAACAGAATAGAAAATAGAATGGAATGGAATGGAGTGGAGTTGAATAGAATAGGATAGAACGGAATCGAACGGAACAGAACAGAAGAGAACAGAACAGAATAGAAAACATGGAATGGAATAAAAAAACAGAATGGAATGGAATGGAATGGAGTGTAGTTGAATAGAATAAAATAGAATAGAATGGAATAGAATAGAAAATATGGAATGGAACAAAACAGAACAGAATGGAATGGAATGAAGTGGAGTGGAATTGAATAGGATAGAAGGGAATGGAACGGAACAGAACAGAACAGAAAATATGGAATGGAACAGAACAGAACAGAACAGAAAATATGGAATGGAATGGAACGGAACAGAATGGAATAGAATAGAATAGAATGGTTGTCCAATCTCTTCTTAAAAACTTCCAGTTGTGAATGCGCTAACAATATATGCAGGTGATCCTCGACTTACGTCCACAACTGAACCCCAAAATTTCTGTTGCTAAGCGAGACAATTGTTAAGGGAATCTTGCCCCGTTTTATGACCTTTCTTGTCC